ATGCATCGGTGAGTTGGACAATGACTAGGGAGGACAGAAGGAGAATTGATGCCTTTGAGCTGTGGTGCTGGAGAAGAGTATTGAATGTACCATGGACTTCCAAGAAAACAAACAGATTCGTCCTTGAGAGGATTAAACCAAGCAACTCCTTGGAGGCAAGGATTCTGGGGCTTCATATGACATACTTTGGGCATGTTGCAGGGAGGGACAGGTCCTTGGAGAGGGACATCATGCTTGGGAGGGTGGAGGGACGGCGCAAGAGGGGTAGACCCTCTATGAGATGGATTGATTCAGTGACTGGGGTAATCGGGATGGGTGTGTCAGAGGCAGTGCTATTGGCACAGGATAGAGCAGAGTTTAGGGCTGTTGTACATAAGGTCGCTATGAGTCGTAAACAACTCGAGGGCACATAACAACAACAACAGATGGGTTTATATGATATGTTTACCAACTTAGGACTTTGGTTCAAAGAGAGAGGAGGAGGGGAAAAAAATGAAAAAAAAAACAGAAAAAAAAAACCCATTACTTATATGTCAAATTTCTCCAATATTGAAAAACTATTTAAATAGCCATGAGAAACATTCATTAGAAGAATAAGGTCCTTGCAGCAGTTAAATCCACTGTCTAGCTCTTAAAAGGTCGTTTAGGCAAAAATACATTAAAAAGGATATTAATATTGTTGTTACGTACCCTCAAATCAACACTCATAGTTGACATGCTAATGGGTTTTCAGAGGCAGCAGATGGCACAGAGGGGACTGTCCATCTTCTCCCTCAGAGCTCTGGGGGGATCTGAACCACGTGCTTTTGGGTTGGTAATACAACTCCTTACCACTAAGCCATCAGAACTCCCTGGGATATTAATAGAACTCGAGAATCGAGAATAAAATTTTGCAGGAATCCACCTTTCCCACTTGGAGGAAGGGAGGAATATTTCTTCTAACCACAGACAAAGAGGCTAGACACGTGTTATAATAAAGGAACCAGGGTGGAAAATCTACCCTTCCCCCACTGCTTCTTTACCCTCGTGAATCATGCATCAGTAGAACTTAGCTAAAGTGAGAAGGGTAAGAGGGTTTCAGGCAGCAGCTGACCAAGGTGGAAAAGAAAAGAGAATACAGGAAGAAGAAAAGTACCTGTGGATGTCAAGTCAAAAGAGAAGCCTTTTCAAAATGCTATAGGATACGGCAGTATGTAACTTACCAAAGGCCAGGGCTTCAAAATTTTTCAATTGACTTTCTTCAGCTCCTTAACTCTTTTTATGAGATAGAATCCACATACCATAAAATTTACCCATGTAACAAGTACACATCCACATTCTTCAACATATATAAAATCAGCTCTCTGTATAGCTTAGTTCAAATAGGCTTCACTTAAAATTTCCCAAAGTTGCTGCAACCACCAAATTTTCCATGTCTCTGTTAATTCAAGTTAACAAGAAGAAATTCCTCCCCTCTACGTATTCTAAAGAAGTACCTTCAGCTCTCATAAACTCATTGGGAAAGTACTGTACTTTGTTTACTCCATATTGCCAGGGGAAAACATGGACACTCCCCAACCCAGGAGTGAAGAGTGAGTCACTTACCACAGTCATGTAATGCAGCATCCGGCCATCTACCCGTCCTTCATCAAACTGAGTCTTATACTGGGGGAGCCCAATATCATCCAACCATCCTAAAGTAGAGACATCAAGGTCACCACTGAGCCACAGAAAGTTTGACTAGGCAAATGAAAAGGAAAAAGTGGTAGTATTTAATATTGCTATTATTTTAGGAATAAAAACTTCTTACTAGTGACCCAGTTGAAATCCAGCTTCCCATGATTCGTTTCTTCTTCAGAACCCAGGGCCTGCAGTGCTAGCTGGAGTTTCTTTCGATGAAGTGAATGCTTGATTCCAAGTTCCTGTAAGAATACACAGAAACTTTAGAATTCTATCAGTATGGCTAAAATGATGAAATGAAGTTTGTGTTAGTTAAAAAGCCAGTATTTAAATTAAATCAGAATATTAACTCAGGTGAGTTAAAAACTTTCTGAATAAAAGGGTCCTAGAAAGAAAGATGAGACACCTGCATTAGTGGGCTGACTCCTGAAAGGAAAAGAAGCCCAGTATGCATAACTTATTTTATTTTGCAGGAATCTTCTTTTTATTTTGTACAAAACGTTACATAAATGGGAAGAAAAGACTTTGGATAAACAGGTATCTCCCCATCCCCAACTGACCCCTTGCATTATGCAAAGTGAAACTGAGTTATATATATTATATTGAGAAGATGGGCCACTAATAAAGTTACAAAATGAGTTCAAGAAAGATGAACTAAAGGTTTATTAGGCCCACACAATTATTTTTTTCACTAAAATGCTGAATGGCTTAAGTATTCCTTAAGGTATCAAGACTACGTCCTTCCTTTTCTGTCCATGAAATAAAACACACAAGGAGCAGGAAACTAAAGCTTTTCAAAGATTGCTTATTGCTCCACTCATGTTACTTTTTAGAAAATATAAGACACGCAGCAACTCTAGGTTTGAATTTGTTCTTCAGTTCCTTGAGCTTAAGAAATGCTGAGCGAGTTCGGCACCTTTGATTTTCTGACTCTAGCTCCTCGCACATTTCATTGTAGTATTTTGCTTTGTCATTCCGAGCTGCCTTTTGGAATCTTCTGTTAAGCTCTTTAGTATCTTGAATTCTTCCTTGTGCTTTGGCTTCTCTACGCTCCAGTGCAACCTTCAGAGTC